TTTGAGCTTGAGAAAAAAAGGGACACCTCATTAAGTTAAACAGTCATATTCAAGGTCAAGGCCAGGAAATGATGAATCTGGAAGAAAATATGTGCTATCGCCAGATAAAAAAACTGGATATAGATATTGCTGTGACACAAAAATGCTGAAACATGGTTGTCAAGTCAGAAGCCTGAGGGAAGAAAGGCATATTTCACTGGGAAAGGTGAGATACAGTATGAAAATATCTAATTCATCCTATAAATCAAGTCATGCAGAGGCTCTGGTGAAAACCAGTCCTACAACAAGCAAATCAAGCATACGATATTTAAAACTGAGTATTTTTCAGTTCAACATACGTTCAGTACCGGGACAAGGAAGTACAGAAGGACAAGCATTCCAAACTCTTGCAAATTTGTTTAAAAACTCAGCTGTAATTCTCTCCCTGGAAACATCTCTGCCTCTTAAAGCAACCAGGAGACCATCACCTCCATGCACCTTCCCTTGGCTGACCCTGCACACTGAGCCAAGGAAGCTGAGGAGCCTGTGCCTGCCAAACCAGCATTCCCAGCTGAGGCAGCTCACTGCACACAGGTAGATGTGTGATGCTCTTCTTGAGCAATGTCAGGCTCAGTAACTGAATTCCAGCACCAGGGCTAGTAAAAATGGGACATAAAAGAGTTCTTACTTATGTTAGCCACCAAGTCTTTTCTCTATCAGAGGAAGATTTTAAATCACATTTGTTTTCTCACATGGAAAATATATTCATTTTAAAAATTGAGAGTTTCTTCCCCAAATTGTTGAGTATTAGATAATATTCCAGCACTCAAACACAGTTTAAAGGGAGACACCTAGTTGCTACAACTGTAGTAACTCTCTAGCTGCAAACTTGGATGCTATACTACAGACTTAATAATAGTAATGTCTAATATCTAATTGAATAGACATGAACATCTTCTTTTTTCCTGAAGATTAAAGGTTTATTTTCTCAGTACCATACTTTTGTACTGATAAAAGAATATTTTTCAAAGCTAAGAAGAAATATTATCTCTTCTAGTGTTCTGCAAGTCATCATCCTCCTCCTCCCTATCAGATAAAAATAAGGAGAATCCTTTTTTCCCCTAACATAATGGTTTCCCCTTGATCTTCCTCCTAGTAAAAACTCCCTCACAAGCATATTAGTACATGCCTCCTTATCTTGTAACTGGACAGTAAGATTTATTAACAGGTAGGAAGTGACCTGAGGTCAGTAGTGATGAGCTGCTGCTTAAGGTACATGAGGTACACAGACATCCCTGTCACACCCACTCCCAAAATACCACTCCTGTACCTACTTCACATACTTACTCCATATGACATAAATAGCTAATAAGGAAAAAATCAGTTTTCTTTATTAAAAATGCAGAGGAAATGTAGTCCTTTACTGCTCAGTTGATACTATAAATATTGAAGAAATTGTTTTTCAAACCTTACTCAGGCTTTTACTGTTTATTTCTGTATTTGGGATTGCCAAAGGGCCTAAATGGCCCCTCTCTCCCCTCCCTAGACACAGACACACCACACCCCCTCTGAGCTCTGTTCTGGTGATTCATTCAAATGCTGGCTAATCGTGGTTATCTGGCTTCCAAGTGCTTGAAGCACTTTTGGCAGCAGGATGAAGTGACATCCGGGAACGTTTAATATGTTAAAAAGGCCAGTCAGCACAGATTAATGCAGTAAGTACATGCCTCAAGGAGAGCCTGTTTACATTCTTACAGTGTAACAAAAAAGCACTGAGGAGGACGTAGGAGTAAAAGTAAGATTTTCATACAAGCCTTACCTGAATCCTTTAAAAAAATGTGTGAAGGAAATGGCATAACACGACATTTTAAGCAAAATATCAAGTTAAAGTAATACCTGTCTGCAATGAAATCGGTAGTAAGGAAGTTTTAGGAAACCATTGTGCAAGGAAAAGACATTTACAGGGGTAGATAATTGACATCAATTTTAGCAAAATCGCACATCTACTCCTTTTTTCAGCTCCTTTCTCTCTCACAATGCATCTCAGTTCCTCACTCTAGTCTTGAATGATTTCAAAGAGGCTGTTTTAATGTTTCTCAAAAGAATGAGCAAACTATACATAAGATATTTTTGGAAAGTAAGAAACATTCAGTTTGTCTGCTAAAAGTCTAGGACAAAAAAGGATCCTTTTGCAGCAGTGTTGATCAATGACATCCTGATACTTAGCTGCAGAAGATCACAATTTATATTAATTTAGGTCTCATTTCCTCCTTATATATTTGATAATAGAGGGGGTTTTTTGCCAATATATTTGCATCCAAATCTAGAGACAATGTGAACGACCTGGAACCCTTCCACAGCCCCAGAATTTGCCAGACCATTCCCTTTACTTCAAGCATGTTTAGATCTTTGCATAAGTCAATGTAAACATTCAACCTCTATCATCCTGTGGCTTTAATTTGGATATAACTTGCTGTATTTTAAACCATTTATTACAGGAGACAATTAATAGAATTTCTAAATTCAGAGTGAAAGTCTCCAGAGGGTCTCTTCCTCCCTTCTTAATAACCCAGGGCTTGCAATAGATTGAAGGGAGTCAATCATTAACATTTGGGGTAGTCAAAAGGCATTAAGTATAAAAAGAACTTGCACCTCCAAAAAACCTCTCTCCTATTCCATATTCAACAGGCTGCATTTTATTCAACTTACATACAGAAACTGGTACTGTGGCTACTTACTGCTTTATCTTTGAGGCTTGGATAACTTCAATTGCAGAAGAAAAAACAATGGAGATCTTTGCAACAGCATCATGTGGTGCAGAAACAGGGGTTTAGATGCCATCTAAGAGACACTACAATTTCTCTAAAACTGTTGGATTTAAAAAGAATCCCAGCACAGCATATGTTTTGCATAAATAATATGGATCTTGAACCAAAACACCTTCCTTATGTAGCTTTCCAGCTATCCTCAGCAAATCAAAGGCTTAGACTTAATTTCTGCACTGACATATAGAGAGCATATGGTTTTCCCAAAGTAACTGTAGGTAGTTTAACATATTATGCCCTTTAGAAACTATAGAAGGTTAATAATGAATTAGAAGAATCTTAAAAATCCACCTGTACCACTGCCCTGGCCCTAGGACTGCTGTTTTGTGTCCATCTGATACACCAAAGTATCACTTTATAAACATGTTCCAATCAATGCATAGCTTTGCCAATATCTAATCTGAATCTCCCTTTAAGCCCAAATTCAATTTACAGAAGACAACAGTAGAAACAACTAAGCTTTCTAGATACTTTGAGTCCCTCTTTAGGTCTTTCAGCCTCGGTCTGCTTTGAGTGGTCTTTAAACCTTTTCCCAAAATTGCATATCAATACATGTTTATTTGATTCTTTTTTTTTTTTTTCTCCTCAGAGAGAGGCACTTCTCACAAGGATGGCAGGCAGATAATAGGTTTATAGGCAGATAATATCATTTGCAGTCTGGGATATAGGTTTTTTGGACCTTTCAGGATAATTAAAGGGGGATTTAAATCAAGAAAAGTGAAGTATTCCTATTCTAAAGCTAATCCGTAACTAGTTCCAGCCTGTAATTCAAGGGAGGCCTATGAACAAAGAGAAGCTGAATATAAACAGAGGAAAGTATGCTAATATTGACTTACTGTAAAGCAATAAAGTAAGGAAGTCAGCAAAGGCACTACTGGAAAAATCATCTTAAAAAAAAGAATGAGGAAAAAATATTAAAATATTAACATTTCAGAGGCCTTGTCAACACAGTGAGAAGAGGATTATGTTACAGGGATGCTGTTGCATTGTTTGTTATTTAGGAAAGCTTTTCTGCATCAGTAAACTACAAGATTAATTAAATTCTTTTGCACGACAATACCAGCCTCAGTACTTGGAATGCAAAAATGTATTTTGAAATGGCTAAGGATTCCTGTACTTCACAAAACCCATTAGCAGATGTCCACTGATAAAGTGGGATGTCATACAATCAAACAGTCAAAGAGAGTCTGTTCACTACCCTCTACACTGTGTGAGCAAACATTCCTGTGCTCTTTACAGACATGAACCAGTAACTCCACACAGCATTTTCCTCTGATAAGCAAATGCAGCAATTTTAGCCATTACAACCCTGGGAATCTCTGAACTTAATTCCATCACACAGAAGATACTGCAGCACATTTTCTTCCAAGAAATGAATACCACCAAAATTAGTTAATGAAAATTAATCACTGCCACTCAAGTACTAGGGGGAAAAACTTTTCAGCCTCAGGACACACAAACCACACATTCTTTTTGGAGTGGAGAGTGCAGGCAAGATTTGGCTATGAGCATGTGTAGAGGGGTAAACCTTCCCATTGTTTTTTTTGCCAAAAAACTGAACTAGTTCACTATAATCTAATACACTAATTAATTACTTGCAAAGGCATTTCTCTCTTTTCGTCACAAGATGCTACATACAGTTCTTCACCTTGACTGCACACATGGAGACATGGTCACTGAGCAAGAAGATGTGCTAAAACACTTAAAACTCTGTAGATCATGGCCAAAAGCTTGAAAAATACAATCTCCCAACAAGAAAGCAAATATGAAAAGTACATAAACAAAATTCTGTTTTCCTATCACCTTGTCATTAAAGTTCTCACATTACCTAGGCCACAAGTGGCTCAATTTATAAAAGCAGACTGGAATGTACTGCATTAGCTTAGTAACAGAAATGAGCCTTCTACAATGCAAAGTGTGAAGTCTTAGCTAACCAAGTTAAGTCAAAAGATGGACAAAAAAATAATTGATTTTTTCATGGCAACCCTGCTATAAAAGTTTCACAACAATCCCTGCCACAGTAATTGCACACAGGATGAACAGATACAATATGTATGAACTGGGGGAAAAAGCCATATTTTCAACCGATTTCCACAGGACACAACAGTTTTAGGCAACTTTTCAGAGTTCACACTTGTACCATGGAGCTGTAAAGGATTTTCAAGACATAGCTACATAAAATATTTAACCACCTACCAGCATTAACGATGGCATCAACCTCAAGCAGCGTAATGTCACCTCTATAGAGAGAAACTTTCTCACTCAGACTTTTCTTCCCTTGCAGATCTTCTTTAGCGTTTTCACCTGCAAACCAAGAAAGCAGAAAAACCAGGTTATAAGTGTGGGTCCGAGGTCATTATTTAGAAGCCCAGAACAGGCAGCAGTACGGTGACATTACTCCTGCCAGACTGCAGTATCTTTCGGTTTCACCTCGAGAGGGCAGCGGTAACCCACAGAGACACCAGCACTGCCCTAACATCACGCTGCTTGCTTGTTGCTTGTTTCCAAATCCAAGCTAGTAGGAAGCACTGAATCCTTACCCACATACCGTTTGGTTACAAAACTGTAGAAACATACATATTTTTGGAGTGAGATCCATCAAGTAATTTTATTTGGTAATCACAAGAGTGTAAATTGGAAAAACAAACTGAGGAATTAAGATTACCCTCCTAACCAGAGTAATAATTTCTCCAATCCAGAATTATACCAAATGAGCACAAAAATACACAAGCCCACCATTTGCCAACACCTCCAAAATTCAGAAGGACTTCTGAAGACACGTAGCCAGACAACAAGCCTGAAAAAAAAATCCACACAAATTTTAAACTTGGAGCTTTGTCACCTTAAATTGCTCAACTAGGAGGAGGCAGGTGGTGAAGACAACATACAGTAGCTCGCAACAGATTTGTTACTAAATACTGTTACCATAGGTCCCTTATTCCTGTAAACTCTTGAGATTTTGCATCAGCAAATCACTTCATTTATATCCAATTCACTCTATAGAACGGCTCAATTACCTCAAACCCTTGCACAAACATACCCAAAGCTTCACCAAGTTAGATATGCACATCACCAGAAATGACCTGGTTTTCAAAACAAGTAGAGTCTGTTGAAAAGCAAAAAGAGTCTTCAATATTTAGGGAGAAAGTAGAAGCAGCAGTCCAAACAAATTTGTTCTTCTAGTCTTACCCTCCATTTCCATCAACTCAAGATTACCAACTCGGACATGTCAGCCATTCCTTCCTGAGCAGCAGGGAGCACATCCCCAAGCTCCTGAGTCCTGTCCCACAGTGGCAAGACAAAGCAGCAGGCTGAGACAGCCACAAGCCCAGACCCTCTGGCCTGGCCTTGCTTTGACATTCCCAGCCTCTGGCTGCCAGGCAACAGCCTTGTGACATCGCAGCTGATGCCACCACCTTGCACTGAGCCCGTGGGTGCTGCTCAGCTCAGCTCGGGCTCAGGGCCAGAGATCGCAGCTCCAGGGACAGCTGTGCCATGCTCCGCCCGGGGCTCTCCCTGCTCCTGGGGCTCTGCGTGGCCTCGCTGCTCCCCAGCACGCCCAGGGCTCACAGCTGGCCCGCCAGGAGCACGGCCCGGCTGCCCGTGCCAGCCCGGGGCGCGCAGCAGCTGCGGGACACTGGCACGGGCAGTGCCAGCCTGTGGCCCGTGCACGGGCACTGCTGCACCTTAATTATTAAATAAGACAGCATTTATTTGTTTTAACTTTAGTCTTCCAAACAAGTTGATTGTTATTCTTATGAGAAAGTGAAGTCAATGACCACTAAATCATCTCTGCACACACAACCACAAAGGATGGAGTTGATCCTGGTACATCCTTTCCAAAATGTGGGGGTTTAGGCTATTACTGACAACACACAAAAGTAGCAACACTGCTGTAAGTCCTCCTCTTGTCTCCTCTGCCCCAGCCTCAGTAATACATTACAGCTGGAAATTTTCTCCAGAAACAGGTGAACATTCATGTCCCACCTACACTTTCTCCCCTCTAGATCCAGCCATCATCTTCTACTTCTCTGCCTATACAATCCAATTTCATTTACCTCTTCCTTGTACATGATCCTTGGGTCCTTTAGTCATGTTCAAAACATCCCAGAGTCCACAGAGCCACAGCTTGAAGTAGAATGAGGTTGATTACCTGAGCTCCTCACACCAAATAGAAAAAACAGGCAGTCCTAGCCTGTAGCTTTGTTACAACTCCTTCCAGATCTGTTGTAAGGAAAAGGGCCTTTACAGCTTACACAAGGGTAGAAAAATGCATTAGACTGAGTCTGCAAAACCCACACTTGACAAGAAAATGGGTAAAGTTCATCTGAACCAAGTGAATAAGGGACTGTCAGAACATCTCACTAGAGGGAGCCCCCACCCAGGACATAAACGTACTCAGCTGGTGCAATGGACAAGGATGGCACAAATACAGTATTGGCAAATCAGCCCTGAAACTCAATCACTGCTCAAATAGCCAGAGTTTTAAAGTCTAATCCATTTTAAAGTATATTAATTTTTTAAACAGGTCTCAAGCATCCAATTACAGAAATCCCTACAGCAATACCAAAGAGCTTACCACTAAAGGGAAGAGAAAAACCTACAGCTTGAAGAGTAGAGAAAGAGCAGAGAAAAAACTACATTTGCATTTTAAAACAAATGTTAATGAAAGAGTAGAGCACACACAAAGTAGTAAAAATAGGTACCAAGGCCCCATAGTATAAGGTGATACCTATGGCAAAGCAAAAGTCTCTTGGCACTCTATGAGCAAAGACCGATAAGATAAGAAATTAAAGAGAGAACAAGTGAGAAGGATTGATGGCAGCAAGGCTCACAGACTCACACTGTTATAAGAGAAGTTTGTTAAACAAGTAACATGACACATTTCAAGTTCATAAAAACAAGTAGCAGACTGGATTGCAAGTAAAAAAAGCTGAAAAGAGCTGAGTTCCATCATTTCTAGTCAGCTTTAGAATCCACAGCTGAAAGAAGTAAATTAATTCCAAGTTCAACAGAAATAAGTCTGCCCACTACCTCATCCCTGCTACAATAGCTACTAGTAGAGATGTATCCCCACAAGGAAGGCTTCTCCAAGAGAATCTGGAAACAGAACGTGAGCAAGGGACAAGAATCACATTATCCCCAGACAAGAGGCAGCCCTTCCACCCCTGGAAGAATCCTCAGCAAATACCTGACTGGGACACTAAACCACTTTTCTTGGGTTGCTGAAAACACAAAGGAGATGAGCAAGCTTTAGGAGTGCATCTGACCCTGGCAGAATGTGCAGCAGCAATTCTGCTACATACTCTGTGCTTTTTCCCTTCAGTGCCTATTTTTTTCTCTTCTTCAGGCATTGTTTCCACAAGTTTCCTGTACAAACTACAAATGGTGAACTATTAGCAATTACTAATCTCACGTCTAACACAATTTCCATTCCATTTGTTTCTGCATAGGCTTATGGAGCGTTAAAAAAGGCAGATTTTAAGACCTGTAATACTATGTGTCTGCTTCTACTCCTACTAAGCGTGGATGATTGTATAGGAAAGGCAATTGCTTATCTAAATCAAGATAAGCATTATTTCCATATGTTCCATCACCAGGGGAAAAGCACTCACAGATGCACTGTACTACTTCAAATTTGTAGTACAGATTGCTCTATCACTTCTTGGACTTAAACGAGATCAGAACCTGAGCACAAGGAAGAAACATCTGTTGCAGACAAATCACTTTCTACCAGCCAAAAATGCACACAACACGCATGTCAAAAGCACTTGATGATGAACACCAACACCTTCTCCCTGGCCGCAGCTCAGCCAATATGGTCTGCTTCAGCTAATTACCAAGTGGCATAATTGGATTAGCTGAGGAATACAGCTAAGTACCAAACTCCAGAGGCAACAGACACCATGAATCACAAAGTGGATGTGGTTGGGTGGCACCTCTAGTGATCAAGTCACCCAGAAGAAGTTGTCCAGGTTGAAGTCAAAGCATCTCCAAAGACAAAGATTCCACAACCTCTCCAAGTAACCCGTTCTAGTGTTCACCCACCATAACAGTATGAGTGTAGCTTTGTTTTTTAATGCTCAGAAAGAATTTCCTCTTTCAACTTGTGCCTACTACCTCTTGTCCAGTCACTGTGTACCACAGAGATGAGTCTGGAGAGATCTCTTTTACACCCTCCACTCTATGTTTATAAACACTGATCAGATCCCATCTCGGGTATCTCTTCTTCAGTTTAAACTTCAGCTCTCTCAGTCTCTCCACGCACAGGAGATGCTCCAACCCCCTTATCATGTTTTAATCATCTTTGTGATTCATCTGGTGCATGAACTACACTTCCCAGTTCTGCACCACCGACCAATCTCCTGAGGTCACACTTTGCCCCATCTTCCAGGTCAGGAGGTCATGCTATCTCCTATTCAAGGTTCTACAGGAGGCATGAAATATCCCCCATCTGAGGGGCTACGACTCACCCCTGAACAACTATCCCAAAAAGCCCCAAGCTCGCTCCCTCGGGCCAAGTTTAACATAGTGGCAGGGCTACCAGCAGCCCTCAAACAAGGTTTTAAGTGTGAGCTTTGACTTTTCAACCACATTTAAATGGGAGCCATTGAGGACATTTACACATCACAGACAGAAGGAGTGGCATACCAAGATAATTGATCAAAACAGCCAGTCCTTCTGAACAACCCACACAACACTCATGCAAAATGCAATTTTCTTGTGTTACAAGGTCTTGCATAGTCCTTAAACAACCTTTTTCTCAGTCTATCCCACACAGCTCTCTAAATCCCCAAAATAACAAAGCAGAGAGGCAAAAAAAAAAACCCCTTGAAGTCTGGGAGAGAAAGAAGTAGAAGGAAAGGAGGGAGTCTGCCTTTTTATGAAGTTTTTGTAAACCGAGAGAAGACTTGGTATGGAAAGCTAAAGTACCAAATAACAAAGCTTGAGAAAGGAGTAACAACAAACAAGGAGAACAGGAAGAGGAATACATTCCCAATTCTAATTTGTGATGCACCCTCATCTGCAGGGATATGCAATTGTCAATTCATAAATCAGAGTCTTCTCACTTCAGCAGCATGCACATTGACAGCAAAGACATAAGTAGGCTGAGACCCTTGGGTATTTGTGTGTTTACTTGGAGAGACAGCATCCAGCTGTTCTGGTTGCTATGCTTGCTGGAGATTTCATGATTTAGGGTCCATAGAAAAGGCTGCTGGTCCAGCTGTGACTCAGAAGGAGATGTGCTTTGTCTGTGTGAAGAAACCCTGCCTTGTTTGGTTGGTTTTACAACGCGGACCTTC